CTTGAACTCATGATCTTCCTGTCTCAGGCTCCCAAGTGCTGGGGTTACAGGCGTGCACCACCATGGCTGGCCAAATTATGAGAATCCTTCCTTGCAATTAAAATGACACTTGGGATGCTGTCTACACTACGTGGCCTTCTAAGCCAGATGGCCCTGGGTGATGGGACAGCTGCCACAATCACACTCGTGCTGATTTGGGCAGTTGTGCTCATTCCTTAGTGAGGGCAATGTACCTGGTGTGAAAATAAAAACAAGGAATCCTTAACAATTTCATGACATTGAAGACCATTAAGCCTCCTGGCTTCCAGCTGCAACTTCACCCCGTTCTAGGTCATTCCAGTTACACTGAGTAAGTAGCTACTCCTATGAGTATCTGACTGATCAAACTCATTAAAAAAAATTCTGGGCCTGTGCCCTGTGTTAATAAAGTTCAGGGCTGAGGGGGTAAGCTCAGAGGCGGCACTTTCTGGCAAGTGCAAGGCTCTTAACTCACCAAAGGAAAAAAGTTCAGACCATAAGAATCCAGTGTAGGGCTGGGGATGTAGCTTGGTGGCATAAGTGCCTGCCTGGCAAGTGCAAGGTCCTGAGTTCAATCCCTGGTACTGCAAAAGAAAAAGAGAATCCAGTGTAACTATGTACAGTCAGCTAGAAGCGGAGACCTCCAACAAAGCTGAAAGTGGAAAAGGGGTCAGGAGTTTCCTTACGACAGAAGGAGGTACCAGCCATTGAAACTTTGAAGCTTTGAGGTGCAGCTGCAGAAAAGCAGTGTTTGGGCTTTTATCAGGGCAGTGAGCTGGCTCTGTGGCAGAAAAGTCTCAGGTAACTTCTTTCATGTCAGAATGGTTGGAAAATGCAGTCTTTGGATCCTTTTGGTTACGAGCTTGGCCCCTATGCGTCAGGCAGCTTGTAAGTAACTAACCAGAAATCAAGTGCGAAGGCCTGGGTAGAGCAGCTCACCAGAAATCAAGTGCGAAGGCCTGGGTAGAGCAGCTCGGCAGGAGAATCGCCCACTCAGCCCAGCCACAGCTGGTCTGTTCTGAAAAGAGCGGCCTTGCATCATTCTTGGCTTCATACTTCCCTCAGGTGTGTATCACAGGCAAGTGCTGATGTGGAAACCTGGGACCTGCTTTAGGGGCAAATATACGAAAAGCCATGTAGGGTTCAGAGAGGAAAATCACCAAGTACCAAGACAGTTGAACTTGAGGTTACTACTGCATGCCCGGGACACCGAAGGGGTGTAGTGGTAGACATGGGATCTGCCCTACATGTGATCCTCATGTGGTCACTGAATGTGGGTCCACAGGGTAGGTGCACTAAGGGATCAATAGAGTGTTAACAAATCTCTAAGCACCTTTGAAAAGACAGGGCTGTCACCAGGATACTTTGTGGGTTTTTTTTTAACTGTTGTTTTTGAGAAAGGGTCAGAGTACAAGCCGGCCTTGAGTTCACTTTGTACCCCAGGCTGGCCTTGAACTCACAAAGATCCTCCTGCTTCAGCCTCCTGAGTGCTGGGATTACAGGTATGCACCACCACACCCAGATGGAGCGGGTACTTTGTTTTTAAAGGTCAAAATTCATCCTCTGAGCTGGGCGTCTTGGCGCACACCTGTATCCTAGCACTTGGGAGACTGAGGCAGAAGATTGCTGTGAGTTTGAGGCCAGCCTGGACTAAACAGCAAGATTCTGTCATAGAACAACAACAACAAAAATCATCTTTTGAGTAGCAGTTTGTTAGTCAGATAGCCCAGTAGTAGAGTGGTAGAAAACTTCAGTGATGTGAGGTCTTGTAGAATTCTGTCAGTAAATCACCTTGTCCACATGTCACACCTATTACACGTCTATTGCAGGTTTCATCAGATGTCTCAACACTGAAATTAATTTTTCTCTTACAGGCTGACCAGTGCACAGGCCTGCAGGGCTTCCTGGTTTTCCACAGCTTTGGCGGGGGCACTGGCTCTGGGTTCACCTCCCTGCTGATGGAGCGTCTCTCCGTTGACTATGGCAAGAAGTCCAAGCTGGAGTTCTCCATTTACCCAGCCCCCCAGGTCTCCACAGCTGTAGTAGAGCCCTACAACTCCATCCT